CCCCATCCCTGCCTTTTTTGTGTGTGGGGGAGTCTCATTTAGTGATTAAGTTGTCCAAGCTGGGTTCAAGCTTGCTATCCTCTTGTCTGTCTCCCAGAAGGTTGGGATTGTAGGCATTTGTCACTGTGTCCAGCACTGCTTTAATTTGAATATTTTAGCAGATTGTACACTAAACTACCTATCCATATTAAGGAAACGTATTTGAAGGCCATCAACAGCCACACAATGTATTTACTTTTTTGTTGTTGTTGTTGTTGTATTTTAGGGAAGGGCCTACAGGGTGTTGGGGGTCTCACTACTGGGTGGGACTCAGAGTGATTTGCTTAATTACAGATGAGCCACCCTGCCCAGTCTCAATTGCCATCTCAGCAAGCCCTAGGGGTTGGGCTGGCACGACAGGCCCAGGGATTGAACCCCTTCTCCCCCCACCCCACTGCGAGGTATTTGGACAGCCTGCCCTACTGACTTTAATGCCATGAACAAATCAGAGGCTAGCATGGGCTACAATGGTAAGTTCAAGGCCAGCCTGAAAGGGAGACGCCATCTCAAAACAAAAACAGAAGTATAAAAAAACCCAGAAGTATAAATCATTCTTAAACAACATGGCTATAATCAAAACACTCATATCATTTATTGAGCACTACCTGTGAGAGAAAACATTGGTCTCACCCCTAGCCTGTTGAAACACTAAGAAAGATTAAATTTGTTTACACTGTTACTCAGCATGAGCTCATCAACAGGTGACAAATGCCCAGATAACCACAGCCACCAGAAGGTATTAGGGCAAATGATGGTAATCTGCACCTGAGAAGTCAAATAAGCGCAGTGCTAGGATTTACCTGTTCTACCCTGAGGCCCGGAGTCCTGGGGCCTGTCAGCAGTTTTTAACAGTAGGAGCTCGGTTAACATAAGTTCAGGTTTGTTGCAATAACAAGCAGAAGGAGAAAGGGAGTGATAATAAGGAAGATGAAGACAGTTGAACTTTTCTTGCAGCTTTTTTTTTTTTTTTTGACAGTCTCACTTTGTGGTTTAGGCTAGCTTCCAACTCACTATGAAACCCAGGCTGGTTTCACAGTGATTCTCCTGCCTCAGCCTCCTGAGTGCTGGCTTTATGGGAATGCACCACCATGCCCAGCTAACAGTAGAACTTTTGTACTTTTGTAGCATACTATTTGATTGTTTTTTTTTTTTTTTTTTTTTTTTTTGCGGAACAGGGGATTGAACTGAGGTCCTTGCGCTTGCCGGGGAAGCACTTATTCCACTGAGCCATCTCCCCGGCCCCATACTA